GTAACGGTCACAAATGTCAACGTTCACACATAACAACATCTAATTGCTGTGGTGTGTATTCATGTACAAGTGTCATTAATATTAGTTTTTATTTTTGCTAAAGGAATTTTTTACTACTAAGGAGTAGTGGCGTGCACTGGGGCGGTCGCTCGAACCCCCACACAGCTTCGACTAAACCGCCCTCGAGAAAGTGGAGTTCTTGCGAATGGCTAGGTCTGTCGCGACTAAAAAAGTGTGTGTGTGTGTGTGTGATGTGTGTGTGTGTGTGTGTGTTGTGTGTGTGTGTGTGTGTGTGTGTAGTGTGTGTGTTGTGTGTGTGTGTGTGGAACGCAAAACTTCTGACTATGTAGGCTTTACCTAGTTGTTTGAAACGCCTCGGGTCAAAGGGTCGAACGTCAGATAGGTGTGCCCATACGAGAACAAAGGACGGCGTTGTACGTCGTATCGATTGCCAACTGCAATCACGATCGTTAATAGGTGTAGAAATCCGCCGAGAAGACTACTAACATGATCATCATCGTCGAAGTGAACATCGAAGCCACACGGCGATCGGAGAAAGAAAAACACTTACTAATAAGAAAAATCTTTTTATTCAGTTCATATCTCTTACAAACGCGACGGTAACATCTCGAAAGAGCTCAGCAATCGCAAGAACTCCTTTCTCGAGGGCGGTTTAGTGACTGTGTGGGGGTCGAGCGACGCCCCAGTGCACGCACTACTCCTTAGTAGTAAAAAATTCCTTTAGCAAAAATAAAAACTAATATTAATGACACTTTACATAATACACACACAGTAATAATATGTTGTTTATGTGTGAACGTTGACTATTTGACCGTTACTAAATATATATATAATAATCTGATAATTTTTTTTCTAGTACAAGGTTTATTCACCCCCATGCCCGCATGGGGGCGCAGGTTGCGGGTGATTGTGTGACGTAAACTTCACATAAAGTTTCAAATTTACCCCTAACTTTACATCACAAAAATGTCTCTTCACCCTAAATGTGGTTTCTGTTAGTCCTTGGTCCTGAGAATAGAGAAAGACTGGAAATAATGAGTACATTAACATGTAATGCCCTGCGAGTAGAGACAAGTAGTCAACCCCTGTGATAATAAAAAACATAACACCGAGCTCATCTTGTAAAACATACATTAACTTCAATGAAAACGAACAAAGAAAGAAAGTGAAAGACTGCTATGTCAGGTTAATTACTAAAGTTAAATTATAGAGTATTACTATAGTAGACATATAAAAGTGAAAAATAATAAAGGGGATAGGGTAAGGTCTTAGGATTCCGTTGCACGTGGTTGGTGTCTCGTCTCCTTCTTCTCCTCCGTCACAAACTGAAGTCCGACCCCTGCCCTCACTAGTGCCACCGACACGTGGACACACGTCCGGGTCGCCAGTGATGCGTCGCCGGTATTGTCTGTGAAACCTTAGCGAAAATTTATCTACACACTTCAAATGTTTCTGTTGTGTTAATACCTGAGAAGGTGAAAGATCACACTCGTTTCGGAAAATTAAATTCGGTCACTAATATTTGACTACAGAACACTTTAACTCTTCTCACACAAAGACACGGGGGATCACCCACTCCTTTACGAATTACGTCCGAAATTAAACTGGAAAATGACATACAGTAAAAAGAATATCTTCCCCATCAACACTTTATATATAGCATACGATATAATCCAAAAACCCCCAAACCAGTAAATTTATAAACAAGAGAAAAAGAGAATATACAAAACGTTTTGTTAATTATCCTTATCCTCTTGTTTAATAAATTTTTTACTGGTTTGAGGGTTTTTGTTATATCGTATGTCAATATATAAAGTGTGATGGTAGAAGATATTTCTTTTGACTGTATGTCACATTTCAGATTTAATTGACGTAATTCGTATAAGGAGTGGTGATACAAGCCAGGTCGGTGGTCTTTGTGATGAGAAGAAGTTAAGTGTTCTGATAGTCATATATAGTGAACGAAATGAATATACGTACCAATTGCTGGTAATCGTTTACCTTCTCATGTAACTTTAAACACAGAAACATTTGAAAGGTGTGTAATAAATGTCCTAAGGTTCACAGGGACAATACCGGCGACGCCATACTGCGACCCGAGTGTGTCCACCGTCCGGGTGGCACCTAGTGGAGGCAGGGGTCGGACTTCAGTTGACGGAGGAGAAGAAGGGAGGACGAGGACACCAACACGTGAACGGGAATCCTAAGGACCTTACCCCTATCCCTTTATGTATTCTTTCACTTTTATATGTCTACTAGTAATACGTCTATAGATTTAACCTTAGTAATTAACCTGACATAGCGTCTTTCACTTTCTTTCTTTGTTCGCTTTTCAGTTGAATTATGTATGTTTACGAGATGCAAGCTCGGAGTTAGTTTTTATGTAACAAGGGTGGACCTACTTGTCTACACTTCGCAGGGCATTACATGTTAATGGTACTCATTATTTCCAGTCTTTCTCTATTGTGAGGACAAGGACTAACAGAAACCACGCATTAGGGTGAACGAGACATTTTGTGATTGTAAAAGTTAGGTAAATTTGAAGAACTTTATGTAAGTTTACGTCACTCACATGTCACCGAGCAACCTGCGCCCCATGCGCATGTGGGTGAATAAACCTGTACTAGGAAAAAAATTTATCAGATTATTTATAATTGTTAGTAACGGTACAATAGTCAACGTTCACACTAAACAAACCATTATTACTTGTGTGTATTATTGAAAGTGTTTCATTAATAATTTAGTTTTTATTTTTGCTAGAAGGAATTTTTACTACTAAGGAGCTAGTGACCGTGCACTGGGGCGTCGCTCGACCCCCACACAGTCACAAACCGCCCTGAGAAAGGGAGTTTCTTGCGATTGCTCCGAGCTCTTGCGAGATGTACCGTCCGTTTGTAAGATATCGAACTTGAATAAAAGATTTTCTATAGGTAAGTGGTGTTCTTTTCCCGATCGCCCGCTGGGCTTCGATTGTTCACTTCGACGATGATCATGAGTAGGCTTCTCGCGCGGATTTCTACACCTATTACGGATCGGATTGCACTTGCAATCGATACGATCGTACCAACGCCTCCTTGTGTTCTCCGTATGGCACTATCCTTGAAATGATTTTATATTTATTAGACTATTAAAAAAAAGATCATGTTCCAAATAAGTGGGGGTACGGCGTACCCCCGCGTCCAACGCCCACTACACCACTGCATTTGAATGTATTTCAAAGTTTAAATGGGGATTGAAAATGTAGTGTTTTACAGAGAAGTGGGATTTACACAAAGACAATCAGGAACAGGAGTTTATCTCTTTCTGACCTTTATTACTCATGTAATTGTACATTACGGGACGCTCATCTGTTCATCAGTTGGGAACAATTATTTTTGATTGTGGCTCGAAGTAGACATTTGTATGTATTAAGTTGACTTTTGCTTGTTTCTTTCTTTCACTTTCTGCGATACAGTCCAATTAATGATTCAATTTAATATCTCATAATGATATCATCTGTATATTTTCACTTTTTATTATTTCCCTATCCCATTCCAGAATCCTAAGGCAAGTGCACAACCACAGAGCAGGAGGGAAGAAGAGGAGGCAGTTTGACTTCAGGCTGGGGACGGAGGTGATCACGGTGGGCTGCACCTGTGTGAGGCCCAGCGTCATACCGCAGCGGCCATAACAGGACACTTTGGAATCCTTTAAATAGATGTGTGAAGTTTACAAAGACAACACAATTATGACTCTTCCACTTTCTAGTGTGAGCAAGCCTTTTAATTTAAGCCAGTGATTATAAACTGATGTCTTGTGAATTGCAAAGAGTGTGTTTCTGTGCCCCCTAGTGGTGAGGAAATGCTTAATGCAGCTTTAATTTGACTTTTACTGTATGTCATTTTCTTATAGAAGGGGTAGTTGTGAAATATATATCGTATGCTATATTAGTTTTTGGGGGTTTGGTCATTTAAATATTTGTTCTCTTTTCTCTTATATTGTTTTGCAATAACCCTGTTTTTGTTTAATTGTTCACATTATCAAAAATCTTTAATAAAGTTTTAAAGCCGACTGTGATGTCTAATTGGGCTCTGAAATGTATTATATATATATTTTTCGAAACAACAATATTATTTGTATTCTGTAACTTACTTTTATATCATATTTTTAAAAAACACTTATTTTCTTCCAGTAAAAGTACACACTATAAATTGTTTTACTTTATATAGTAATAATTTATATTTATGCCTTGTTGTCTTGTTTCATGGATACGACCAATTAAGCAAAGAAAGTACATTTGAAAAAAGGGAACCAGTGTATACAGTCTACTTAAAATCGTTTGTATTTTCCTTTATAGATACTAAAAGTATTATCTAGCGTCTTTATTCAAATTAGAACTGGAGTTTATTATCTAACCTTTGACTTTAATTCATATTTTGTTATAAAATGTAATTTCAAATATAGATTGAATTCTTATTTATCATAATATATTGGTTTGGTAAAACTGCCCCAACAACCTCTAGCAAAAAATGCCTGTACGTAACCTGAAAGGCAAGACCCAGGGCAAAGAAAACCCAGTAACATGTGGTCAGTGTGTGTTTATTTGCATGCAAAACATCCACATATGATATCAATCCACGAATGATGAGACACAATGTGTGAGTTCAGTCAAGCCGTTTTTACTGACCATGCCAAATAAATACAATCAATCCAGCCTCGAAGATATACAGCGACACACAGTTACAGCAAGTACAAACCCCATGTTACCACTCCCCAGCTACAGTGCAAACATTTTAGACATTTCAATCAAGTCAGTATGACTCAACAACTCGAGCAAGTTTCATCTTTCTGTTTCGGTTTACTTTACCTTTGGAAATCATGAACTGACAATCAGAGCACATTGACACATGCCAAAGCATAGGGAGAACGCTGTAAGCCAGAACCCCCCCCCCCCCCCCAAATTCATCTTTTCAAAATCTAATTTGTCCAAATTCTGAACTGCTGTGACTCATTACTCTTTGCGATGACATTGTTGTTTATACTGCATATTCCTGCTGTCCTTCACGTGTGCTTTTGAGTTGTGCTTAATGAAATTAAGAGTGCAATCAGTGCTCTAAATCTAACAGTCAAATGCAAGTCACTGATCTACAACTACACTACCGTTAGAGTTTCACAAAGAGCCTGAAAATACAGCAGGGCTCCCTCTGTTTCCAAGTTTTTTTAATTCCTTTTATTCCCCCTTCGCGCTGCGGAAAGAAACGAAAGCCTGATTCCTCATTTCATAATCATAAACCAAGTCGTGAGATTTACTGAGGTCTGAGACGTCCCCAGACAGCAATCCCAAACATTGTGTAGTGAAGAATTAGCATGGCAGACCAAGCAAAATCCATTTTTATTTTTATTTCAGAAACAGCAGAAGGGTTAGGGTTGTGTGTACTGACGGGTACGTTTTTTCTCACTGGTTGTGACTGAACTACATCTGTGTGTCCATTTCTTTATAGCACATCATGTTTTACTTGGTAACAATTTAGATTACAACTCCCTTTTCCATAGTAATAGTCTGATTGAACATCAATGGTGTTGGCCGTGTTTCTGCAAAATTGTCAGCATCATCAAAGCATCATCCGGCGAAACAGCTCGGCTAACGATGCTAAAACATGCAGGCAGTTGTCCTTTCCTGCAGAAATGAAAGGTATCATTCAAATTGTTACCTCCTCCTCTCTTGATGCAGCTTTTATTCTTCACCAAACAACCATTGTCGCCCCTCTTTTAAAATGTGATTTGTTTTTGATGCAACCCAACCCCCCTACCCACTATCATTTAGCAAAAAGAGATTTTATTTTCGGATTTCAACATCAAGCATCGGCTAAACTTTGTACAGCTTGTTCAGAATCGTTAGACCATACATCAAATATGAAAAAGCTATCCCCTTTGTTCGAGTGGATTTTGGGTTTCTTTCTTTCCTGCACTGTTTTGATTCCCTTATTTTTTTTACCAACTCGTAAAACTCCCGCTCTTTTTCCTTTCATCGTCTTCTCCACTCATCTATCGGCAGGCTTCCTCCTTCATCTCCTTGTTCTTCCTCACTTCCTCTGCGTGTTTGTCCTGCCAGACAAACACAGAGACATTGCAACATCAGAGTCAATAGCATGCATGAATACATTAGCATTAATGAGGCAGGAACAACTGTTCATAAAACTTTGAACAGGGGAATTACTTAGACTGGGGAGAACTAACCACTATTTTCCGCCTAATATAATATTCATCATTACTGATCAAGCTTGTGTGAAAACCCAGTCTAAGATACGGAAGGTACGCCTCATTTGCACACAAAAAAAACTCCAATATCAGGTCTCAAAATGAAAAGAAATGAATTTGAGAACAAATCTTTAGTTTTAGAGGTGCGAATGTGTGGATTTTTTAGTTGAAGCTCTGGACAGAGCCAACCTTGCAGTTTTCCCTATTTCCAGTCTGTTTCCATGCTAGGTTAGCTTCCTGCTGCTGGTGGTCAAATATTGGTGACAAGTATGAAGCTAGAGCGAGAGGAGACCATTACCTTAGCTTAGCATAAAGATGGTTCATTGTTATTTTTACATTTTTGTCTCTGTATAAATTAAATAAACACATGATTAAGAGATGTAAAAAGGTCAAATTGTTCAGCTAAGCTTGGCTAATTGCAGGCCCGGTTCTACGGGGGTGCATATGGGTGCATTGCACCCTCAGTTGAGTTGTTATGCATCCTCATTTGAAAAATTAAAAGTGAATAAAAAAAGAGTCTAAAGTGAAAAATATTACATATATAATAACAATAATAATAATAATAATTGTAGTAATAACATTAATAATAAGAAGAATAAGAAGAATATAGTCAATGATGGACATCAGAAAATGGTTAAAACAACCAGCCCTTATCGCCAGCAGTAACACTGCATCTACTGCAGGTAATAACAGTTCAGATCATGGGGACATTACGTTACCCGCGGCCACTGTCGTGGACACTAACGTCCTCCCGCCCCAATTCTCCGGCTTTGCCCACGGAGGCGGAGCAGCCGCAGCCGTCTTCGTTGCCCCAAACACCGCCACCCCTCAGCCCGCAAGTGCCAGAGGACCTCGGCAAAACAGACCCTGCCCAGGTATATTTAAAAAAGTGCCCAACTCGCCTGTACAGTGGGGTAAGACGCTCATTTTGCAGATGTAGACATTTCGGTTCAAGTACATCAGATGCCTTCACCACAACTGTACCAGAGTACCAACTGCTGTCTCCTGGTACTCATCTGAGTAACTCACTCACTAAAAATGAAATACTAGCCTATATGACAGTAAAACAAGAATAACGTTTAAAAGGGGAGTGATTTGAAAAATATCCATAGAAAAATCTGCTTACAGTTCTGTTTCATATGGGTGTTGAGAGATGTATCCATAGATCTCTTCATTTTGCTCTCAAAGTGCACCAGATTGATGCTTTCAACTTCAATATTTAAAAAAAAAATCTTCCCGGGGGAGCATACCCCCGGACCCCCCGAGAGGAGACGAGGACCCCCCTAGAGGGTGTTAGGTCCACTCCCCACTTATAAAAATAGCACTTTACCCCTGCACCCTATCTAATCTCAGATGCACCCTGAGTGATTTTGTTCTTGAACCGGGCCTGGCTAATTGTCTCACAGCTCTGGCCTTGACTAGTCTCCATCTTGGCCTGTTTTCAGTCTTTATGCTAAGCTAAGTTTGCTTGGTGATGCTGGTGTACAAATATAGGCTACAATTATGGACTTAAGGAGTCTTTTACCCTAGCTTAGCATAAAGATCATAAATTGTTGTTTTTACGTTGCTATTTCTGAATGAATTATGTATTACATTAACACAATGCAAATTGTTAGGTAGTCCGATTTAGATATGTAAAAAGGAAATATTTTTTATTCATTTAAGAGACAGTTAACTACCTGTTTCCTCTGTCCAGTTTGTATGCTAAGCTAGGCTAATTGTCTCAGAGCTCTAGCTTTGGGTAGTATCAATCTTCTCATCTAACTTTTCGTTTTTAGGCTGTGAAATAATTTTTAAAGGAACAGATCGACATATTGGGAAATAAATGTTTTCACTTTCTTAGAAGATAGTTAAAAGCGAAGATTGTACCACTGTCATCTAACTGTTTTATAGGGTGATAATAAGCATATTTCTCAAATGTTTGAGCCTTTCCTTTAATAATACCCAAGTACAGTGCACAATAGATCAAGTTTGGGCCTAGCATGAAACATTTGACTTTCTATTTCTGAAAATAACTTCATCATAATGTTGGATTCGAAGAGGGGGGATCGCACAAGTTGAACTCCCTGGAATGAGGACTGGGTTACTGGATACCATACATTTAGCTGAAAAAAACACTAACCAAACAGCAAGAGTTTCCAGGAAAGAAAATATTGCAAAACTTGATCCGTCTGTGTCTATGATTAATTTCTTCCAGATCTCTGCTGTGCTAGGTCCTGACCGAAAAATACTGAGTACAAAACTCCATAAATTCATCATCTGTTTAGTTATGCATGAGAAAAAGAAATATGGAACACAAAAACCGTTCATGACTATTAATACCATCCAACAATGGTTGTAAATGATCATACCTTCTCCTGCAGCCTCTCCAGCATGGCGGCCAGCAGGGCCTCCCTGTTCTCCTTGTTGGCCTCCATCTTCTGCTCAAGCTTCTCCTTGACGTTCTTGATGAAGTTGTTGTTCTCCTCGAAGGCCTTCTGGATCACCCCGCGCTCGTGCTCTCTCTTCTCCGCCAGGTGCTTCAGCAGCTCAGCCTCCTGGCACTAGAGGGAGATAGAGAGCACAGATGGTAAATCAACTTTAACTGCAGATGCAGATATTTAACAGATATCCTAACCCTAAAAGTGCTTCTTCTTTGAGTGGCACAGATGATTGCTCTAAAGTTAGTCTTAAAAACAAAAAAGTAATTTACATTATTGCTGACTGTATATGCATTTTTAAACAGCAAGGTTTCTTTAAAATTGCATGTTGTTAAACTTGCCCCCCTTTTACTTCAATTCATCAACTTGGTAACACAGAGAGCGTAATTGATTGACAAATGTTCATTTTGTAGGTAACCTAAACAGTTAGCACTTAAAAACACAGTTCATCTGCATCTTCAGGATTGTGTAAGTGTAAATAAGTTACATCACCTTTTTCAAACTAAGCCCTGCCCACTGTGACAAACCATGGCAAATAGTGCGTTGTAAAAAAGAAAAACTGAAATGTCCAATAAAAGAACCAAAACTGTTTATCTTGGCAGAATGTGGTGTTTTTATATTGAACTCCATTACGTACAGTCAGAAGCTGATAAGAGGCTGAGAATATACATGTTCAGGGCCTTTAATGCAGCTAATAAACCGATGATTATAAGCGGAAATGTGTGATGTTGCAGGTGTGTGTGACCGCTTTGTTTTGCAGGACACATTCTCTGTGCCAGCTAATTTCCCTCTTCCCTCCCCTCCTCCCCCGTCTCCCCCTGTCCTCTTAGCCTGATGAATATGATCTTTTGTGAGTGTGTCCTTTCATGATTGCCCTTGTACTTTCATGTCCCCCTTTTCATCTTCCATCCGCTTGTGTTTCCTCCCTTCCTTCGCATCAACTCCAACACTCCCTCCCTCTTTCCTTTCATCCATTTCCACCCTATTTCCTCCCGAGTGGATAAATCAAGCTGCCCACAAAGAGCGTTGTCAGATGTTTGACAATGTTTGAAAGAGCTACAAATAGCTAGGGTTAGGGTTACAGCTTAGGGTTAGGATCTGTCCAGTTGGATGATACAAACACCCAACCCCACCTCTTCTCAACTCCCCTCACCTTTCGCCTCTCCTCGGCAGCCTCCAGTTTCTTCTGGATCTCCTCCAGAGACGGGTCTCGGCGCTGTGGCATGGAGGTGTTGAGCTCTGGCACTCCGTCAAAGGATGGGGGCTTGAGGATGACCTCGAAGGCCTGGCCAGAAGTCCTCTTGTTCAGCTCAATCACCTCCACGTCTTTGATGACGCGCCAGCCCAGGTCCACCGCATCTGTGGTGTTGGGTTTTGGCCATGTTTAGATCATATAATAATAATAATAAGATAGAATAACACTGTTACACACCATCAATGTGATTTGTTGTAAATGGTGTGGTTTGTGGTGATCCATCCTTCCATTCTACATGGTTCTGCGTAGGAATTATAGTTTGTTCTTTTACCAAAATGACTAGTGCCTCCATTCGTGCAAGAGTGACTTCTCTTTACCTTCTGCCTTGTATGTAGGTTTGTCTGCAGTCTGCGGGTTGAGGCAGGCACAGAACAGAGACACCAGGGGGAGCTCTTTGACCTTCTCTTTGTAGGCTGAGGACACACACATACACACACAGAGATACACACGTTTTGTTAGGCTTGACATTGTGTTAACTGAATGATGGTGCAATTCTCCTTTTCAATGACAGTGACACGTCATTCTTATTATGTTATTATCACTGTCACAACACTGACAAGATAAATGGTTCAGATAATAAACGTAGAACAATGGAATCATAGTGAAGCATATACAGTAAAGGGAAAAGGGAGCAGTGACTTTGTGCTGAGGCTGCATTTACCTGCCAGAGTCATCTTCTCGCTGTGTATGTAACTCTCCAGTGATACTGAAGATCCTACTCAGTCTGCCAGAAAGGGACACAAAGAGGCAGAGGGGAGTAAAGCAGCAATTAAAGGTCACATTATGTATGTGAGAAGCAGTGGCTAAGGACAGATTTTGCCAAACCGCAAGCTGCATAGCGCTTGTTTTAGCACCTCCCATTAAGGTTTAATTCGACCAATCAGAGAACATCAGAGGGTCATGTGCCAAGGATAGTTTGAATACCATGACATACTGGGGACATTAAAGCAGGGAAGTAAATTCGAACTAATCATATACAAAATATTATCAAACACATAATCATAAGGCTTTTTTTCTGAGGTCCTCATCAGATATCTATGTGAACAAAAAAAAGCCCATCCCTCCAAAAGATTAAAACAAGAAAGGTCGACAAATGCCCCTTTCAGACCAATGCGGTTCCAGGGCCCGTTCGGAGCTATACCCTGATAAGCACCAGTTTTTCCTGTTCACAGCGGAGCCGGCTCTGAACACCAACAAATTGTCAGTCTAGAAGCAAGGATCGCATACGTCACGCTTACGTCGGAGGGGGGCGAGATTAACCTGAGCTAACAGTTCATGGCGAGTACGGCAAATAAAAGTTGTAACAAGCAGTAGTGCTGAGCAGAGTGACTAGAACGCAACCACACACTTGGAAGAAAAAAACACACTTTATAAAGTCAGGCAACACTAACACCTTCGTGTGACTCTGTTTATTTGTACCTTACTTCCATCTGTTCGCTGTTATTGATAATTGTGGAGAGCAGGCAGACGTTTTGTTTTGTATTATAGCAGCTATCGGATGGAATCAATACATGGGCTGCACTGGTTGTCATGTCCGACTATCACAAGTAGAATCATAATGAAAAATATGCCGGTAAAATGTGCCTGTAGAAAACGGCTTATGCCGCAATCGGATAGCAACAACAAGTAGTCAAGTTACAGTCAGTTTAGCTTCGGTTGCTATGCTAACATCACCCATTTTATACAGAGAAACTTTCATAACAGCGTTGTGATGCCATACAGCGTCAATTCATACTGAAACACATTCACTTATGGGGAATTGGGGACAGGTATCAGCTGCTTGTGTGACAGTCAGACAGTGAATACTTTACAGCGGCCGCTGCCGTGTGAGTTAAAGGGAGAATAAACTCCAGTGGAAGAGCACTACTGTAGCGTTAGGTAAATGCCGGTGAAACACATAAATAAATAATGAACCACGACACTCTGGAGAAAAGTGTAAGGTTGGAGAAGTCGTTATTTAATTTAATCTGGCTTTGTATTTTTAAAAGTAACACGATCACACGGCATCTATTGCACGTCTGTCCGTCCTGGAAGAGGGATCCCTCCTCTGTTGCTCTCCCTGAGGTTTCTCCCATTTTTCCCTTTAAATTGTGGGTTTTCTCTGGAAGTTTTTCCTTGTAGCCTACGATGTGAGGGTCTAAGGACAGAGGGTGTCGTATTGTCATACTGATATTCTGTACAAACTGTGAAGTCCACTGAGACAAATATAACATTTGTGATATTGGGCTATATAAATAAACATTGATTGATTGATCGATCGACCCGACGCCGTCCCCCGTTGTTGTGAGCTGCGCCATTGGGGAGAAAATCAGCGACGTAAGCGGTGACGTCATGACGCCGCAGCGGCAGCACCAGTCTGGCTCTGGGCGGTGTGACCAAAACGGGGGCTGAAAAGAAAAACCAGTTCCGAACCAGAAGAGCACTAGCACGGAGCTAGAACAGGAACCGCGTTGGTGTGAAAGGGGCAACAAAGGCACTTAAAAAATCTCATTCAGTGAAAAATTGCATTCTTGTCTACCCTCAACACACCAGTGATCAGGAATGCTATGTCCAATCTTATATCAGTCATTTATTTTGCTTCCCAAAATTCAACTCTGAGAGAACAGACTTAAAGATCCCATCAAGACATGTGAATATATTCCGTTTTTTTTAACGAACATTTAAAAAAACGTCCCTTCTCACGCATTGAACAATTCAGAATCTATGCAAATGCAAATATTGTATATTTCAAAATGTTACTGTAAATACTAAAAGATGTCTTCTACTTCAGTTTTCATTTTGTGATAATCCGAAATAGTGCATTTACTAGTACTACTGTAATGTGTTATCAGCTGCCAATAAACTGTTACAGAAGAAGAGGTGCCAAGATGGCATACAGAGTGCCGCTCTATCCAAAACATTTTTTTGATCATGTAGAAAATGTGATTAAACAGCAGCTTGAGTGACATACCACATGCTTAATGTGCTTCATAAATTGTTAGCTAAGGTCGCAAAAGTTGACATTGCAATTGTTGTAGTTTAGTTTTATAAACACACCTACTTTTCAAAAAAGTGTGAATTTGAACTTTTTGGTGTACTTTTGAGTGTTCCAAACCCATGTTTCTTTTATGCACAATTTGAAACAAGGCATAAAAACAGGGAAATGGAAAGACACTAAAGGCTGTGTGTCCACTGCATGGTAGGCTTAGCTGTATTCAACATGACTCAGCGTTTAGTTTATCGCCTTGAGCTGTGGAAGTTGTGAAAAGTACCTGTCACGAAGTATACAGTATATTGGTTGATGTTTAAGGCTAGCTCAGGCAAAAGTAGAAGGTGAAGTTAAAACGCTAGAGACCACTGAAAATGGTCATGGTGTACTGTGGTGTCCCTCAATAGCAACCACATTTTTTTTATTTAGTTGTAGGGTCCCACTGTCTGAAAAAGTGCATTGTCTGATTTAAGTTTACACTTTCACAGATCAGACCATGATGGGTTATATAACTACTTGTGATGGCACAAAATCCTGCATGTATGGACACACCTTATTCCTGGCTCTTAGTGTTGCAGTGAGTCACAGCTGGGGCACAAGTGGAAGAAACATCAGTCATTAAAAAAAGCAGGAGGAAAATATTAATAACAAGCGCAACATCAACCATGACATCAGCCTGTTTCACCACCTGCTGAAAATGTAAACCTGAGTGTTGTAATGAGAGCAGATGTGCCTCTGTGACGGTGGCCTGTTAATCATTTCAAACCACACTCATTAATTTTCATTCAAGAGTCCCTCAATTGAATTAATTCAAACAGATATCGAGTCAAACTTAATGACACATTACACTTGAATATCTGTTGTCTGCTAATTGGATCATATTATTATGTGAGAATCCAGCAGTGCCTACAATGATGACCTTTTCACAGCTGAGTGCACACACTCATTAAGATTATCTTTTCAATTCTGGTGTTCAGTATCATAAGCACACTCATCATGTGGACACCCTCCAGAATCAGGTGTTAAAGCAAACAGGCTGAGGAGTAATAATAGATACAGCAGTTTGAACATGTTTCCACCACAGGGTTAGACATCCCAATGGTTCCTGATGTGGGCCCAATTAAATTTAACATCTGTCGACCAGAAATATCCCACCTGCTTTCAACTCCTTTCCCCTTCAAAGATAGGATTTTACATAGCTCATCATCTGAGCTACACGCTGGTACAGTGGAAGGCAGAATGCAATACAAGCAGGAAATACACTTTGTCTGTGTTAGCCTTGTTGTCCAACATATAGGAATATTTCATCTTAAATAAAATGTTGTTGGGCTAAAGAAAATGTAATGGCAAAAATGAAACTTAAAGGTAAAATGTCGGCAGCATTCATGTTGCTAGAAGGTGAGTAGCCTGTGTTAACTTGGCTATCAAGACCATGGCTGGGTTAAAGGAATTGTTGGACAATCTTCATTATGTGCTTCTTTAGTCACAAACCGTAACAATTATGAACAACAGTTTTTGCAATCTTTTGCAATCTGTGCAATATCTCTGCTTGTTAATGTGCACCTTTTATAATATCCACTATCCACAATACGCCAGGAAGTAGCTCCTGCAGTTCACCAAGGGGTAGGCTAGTTATAGCACACCATTTCCAATAAAAACAATTAACAAACAAGACACAAAATGTTCATTTTGTTTAAGTTGGTGTAGCCTATGTTTGAACCTTGGAAGGAGCTATGCTAACTGTGGCTTTGACTATTAATGCTAAACTAATCCTTGCTCCAGCATTAAAGCTCACCCCACTTCTAAGCCTATCAGAAAGACCTCTTTACAGGAGACGTTGCAGGATTGGTATCAATCTTTACATGTAACTCTGATCTCAAACAATTTCTTAAAACTTGGAACATTAGCTTAGCTAACTAGCTAGCTAGCTACCTACCCACCCACCCAGATAACGTAATCTGTCTGCCTGTTTGTGTGTGCCTGCATTTTAAGCAGTTGTTTAGCATGTGACATGCCTGAAGCTTCAGAGAGTGACATAAGATTGCTAATGAGACAACCAAAGACAGAGAGAAGTTTAATTTCAGTGTGGAGCAAATGCTCACCTGACCAATCTGACATGGCTCCCTGTGGGACTTAAAAGTCAAGGACACCCACGTGTGCATGTATAGACACTGAACATAAATGTTTGCCACACACACACAAGACACACAACGCACGCACATACACACACAGACGCACGCACGCACGCACACACAGCTGCTGCTTATCTAATGAAACCACTGAGGCAGCAAATCAATGGATGCTCTGCTTCCTGCAGGAGAAGTGCTCTATTTCATGTGTGTCAATGCAGAGGGAGAACTTGGTGCACTGGGACATTTGGCTCAAAATGATTTGAATTTATCTTGTGATAAACATGGAATTTTCATCCCAAAAGATCACCACCTTCTGAAGGTAATGTTTCTCTTTCTCTGCAATTTGGTCTAATTAATATATAATAATATCTACAGTTTACGAGAACAGGAAATACTTGCATTTCTCTTCGGTGGATGTGACACATTTGCAAATATACATGTTCGACTCACATCCATCACACTGCGAGCAAAATGGGCAAAAAAAAACCTGGAAGCAGCAGACATATGCCAATTCGTTTTTGCTTTTGTGAACTGTCAGGTGTATATTGTTGGATGAGAATAGTGATGCATATCTTGTGTCTTCATGCTTAATATGAAGCTATATCAAGCAGTCAGTTAGCTTATCTTATCTCAGGTTAGCTTAGCACATAGACTGGAAATAAGGGGAAACAGCTAGCCTGGCTTGGTCAAAAGGCCAACATCTGCCAACCAGTACCTCGTTACCTTGCAGTAGTTTTATTTTTTACTTGAAAATTATTCTGAAAATATATCAATTTATTTTCTTCAAATGTTCAGCACATTGATACTTTTACTGTTCCAGATGAACCCTGAGGTTTTTTTTCACGATTGACTGTTTCCATGGGTACAGTCCTTGATGTGCCTGTATACACTTTCATATTTGCATGAATCCTGAACATCATCTTATGGCACCTGTGATAATTTCTAATAAGAGTCTAATAATAGATTTCTTATAGGAGGAGCAGTTAAACAGACTTCAACTTCACACCATACTTTCAATACAGCATACCATTTGTATCAAGATAATATCAACATTTGTTAACACCCAGCTGTCTGGCATTTTTATGAGCCAATTTGATTTTGGTTGGATGGTTGGTTTTACAGAGATTGCTTTTATAAATTGTTGTCTCCCCATCTTTTGTAATACCTGCACAATGCACAGCACGAAAACAAATAGAAACTAAATTCCCTCTTCTAACATATTTCTCTCTCCCCTTTCCAAAAGCAGACACAAAGCTGTGTCTGCATGGAGGATCAATAATAAATGACACCCGTTATATACAGTTTGCGGGCACACCGAGTTCTCTCCCCCTCTCTCCCCCTCTCCCTTTGCCTCCTTCTATGTCAGCAGGTGCAGTGCATCATCACCCTCGCCCCTTTACTCCCTTAATATGCACACAGTCACAAACACACACAACGAGGTACCTTCAGTCTTGCAATAAAACACAACAGAACAGAAATGTAATGCAGGTATGTGTGTTTTTGTAATGCAGACTTACCCCCCTCTGTCCCTTTCTCTCTGCTGCTGCTGATGGACCGGTGACTACGGTTACCCCCGTCTGGCTGCACGGATACAGGCGCCGGGCAACAGCATCAGCAACAGCCTCAGCGCTGCCTCCATGACATCACCTTGGAGACGTCTTATTGGCCCGAGCCACTGCCAGCATCCAAGGCTCTCAGCCAATTAGAGCAGAGTGGAAGGATGGGGGGGGAGGACCGTCAGCTCTTTGTGTTGTACCGCAGGGTGGGTGGAGGAATCACTGTTTTATTATGTGGTGCAGGTCAGGAGTGTGTGTGTGTGCATGTGTGTGTCTGAATGTATACTATGCATGATCTTGAGTTGAGGGAAGTAGTGTGAGAAATTGGTGAAGATTGGTAGACTGGGTGTGTGTGCATCTCAGCAGGGGGCCCAGCTAGGAGGCACGCAGAACACTAAATTATTTAGATCCTAAGGGTAGAGTATAGAACAAGCAAAACACATTTTGTATTGTGAAGCACATGCAGTTCATTTTATTCAATATTTGCTATTTTTGTTGTGAGCACAAATACAAATGTGTGACTTCTGCAGGCTTAACCCAGGCAGCACTCTGCACCAAAACATAATATATCTTGTAGTGAGGGCAGTTGTGACAGAGACAATCTCTTGTTGTGTGCTATAAGTAAAATTGAACAATATAAATATCGTATTCACCAGACATTATCCAGAGTTCTTATAAAAACCAGCTTTAAATTGCTTGATTTTCATGTTATATTTTATGTTGTCTATATCCTGGGCAACATCTATACATTATTCCTGGAATATGACGCACCACCTTCTCTGTGTGATAATTTGATCATATACAAATTGATGAAGGAATATAAGACATTATGCAATGTCTCGAGATCAGGTAACAAAAGCAATACTCTCTTCCATTATCTCCTTCAGCAAATAACCAACCTATCCTAACCAAATAAAAAGTGCCAGTAAAAACATTCACACAAACCTGTTTTTTAGGACCCCCAAAACCTCTGGCTGGAATTACCAAGGTTTCCCATTTTTTCTAGTCTTGCTCACAGATACAATCTTAAAGTATGGTCAATAATTTCACAAGCGTTATGTGACTTTTCACACAAATACCTAACGCAACGTGAAATAGTTATCATTCTCCTCTTCCATTCTGCTGAGCTCCACAGAGCTTCATAGTGTTTTTCAGCTGATTGTTTGGTTTTACTGCCCACAACTGTAATTGACTCTCATACTGTAGCTCTAATCGAACATTCCATCTCTAAAATCCCCCTGTACAGTGCTCATTATTAAATAACAGAAAGATAGCTACAATAGATGGTAAATATAATGAAGCTTTTCGCTGCTTGATAGCAGATATTTCTCTCAGGAGGTGATGGAGACCAAAATAAAGCTCAAAAGAACATGTGCTGGATGTGTAGATAGGAAACTGTTAGCCATGTTAATTAAAAGGTGATAGCATGTCAAGCATGTGATCAGATATCATTCACAATGCCTTCAAGGGGCCACACAATCCATTGATGCATGTTAAATGCTGGAACTTTGATAATGCAGACCAAGTTTAAAATATGGAATGTCCCTAAATAACCAGTGTGATCATGGATTTCAAGCTGGGTTGACATTTACTCTAGGTCTAATCCACTCGTACATGGGGATTAAATAAAACAGGGTTTTTCTTCCTGAGTTCCCAGAAGAAATCCCACACACACACACACACACACACACACACACACACACACACACACACACACACACACACACACACACAAGCTCAAAGTCTTGTCTAAAACTGGAAAACTGGCAACGTCGGTGTGCCCTAGGATTGTTGGATGCTATAGCATTAACCGTCACCTATTCTGACACCAAATTCCGAAAATAAGGAACTACACATTTATGTTAACACATGTAAAAAGTCTGTAATTTAAAAAGGGCTGGTGTTAAATCAAGTCTGCCGGGGCGAGTAACAGTGTGCAATGATGGTGAATCGATCATTTTAAAAACACTAGAGGGACGCTGTAAAAGCCATCTTGTCTAGGGTATGTTTCCCAATCCAGCAGACAGTATTGGTGCAATTCTTTTATTTTTCCCCTTCCCTTTTGGGAAGCCTCTTCCCACCACTGTTGTTTCTGCTGTTTTGGATGTGAACTACTGTTATTACTCCAACTGCTGCTAGTAAATAGAATCACGAACATCAACATAAGGAAGCCACTACGGATGAAAAATTTACTTTTAATCACAATCCTTTTTAAAAAATGTGTTTATAAGGCATTAAGGATAGGAGACACACACTGAGGAAAGGTAAAGTGCAGATGTGTGTTTGCCGCCCTCTGATCTTGTATTCAGCTCACACGACTAACATGATGTCACCACGCTGCCCGCAGACTACGAGATTAAAGAGCCTACAACACTGGGGGAGAGAGAAGGATATGCATGAGGTCACATTAGGGTGTGTCCTGTTGTCGCTGCTGCTGTCTACTCTCCTTCCCTCCCCTCCTCTCCTTCCCTCCTCTCCTCTCCTCTCATATCCTATCCTCTCCTCTCCTCTCCCCTCCTCTCTTCTCTCCTCCTCTCCTCCTCTCTCTTCTCCTCTCCTTCCCTCCCCTCCTCCTCCCCTCTCATTCCCTCCTCTCCTCCGCTCCACTCCTTCCCTCCCCTCCTCCCCGCCTCCCCTCTCCTCTCTTTCCCTCCTCTCCTTCCCTCCCCTCCTCTCCTTCCCTCCTCTCCTCTCCCCTCCTCTCCTCTCCTCTCCTCTCCTCTCCTCTCCTCTCCTCTCACTTCACCTCCAATCACTGACGGTAAACCCACGTGTGACAATAGACATCACACACATCCTGGAAATGAGATCACCAAGAGAAGACAGAGGAAAACAGAGGGAAGAAAGAGGAAGAGGAGGAGGAGGAGGAGGAGGAGGGTGAGGGAAAGAAGGAGGAGGAAATGGGATCAAACAGATTATTTCAAGGATTCCTGGGAGAACAAAGATAAGAGGCAGGGCCACAGCAGAGGGAAAATAAGGAGGGAAGACCAAATTGAAGCATGGGGAGTATTATAGAAACACCCATGGGAGAAGTTGGGAGGAGACGCCTGGTAAAAAAATGCCCTAGGGATGCAGGATGAAAAATTGCCCATTTGACAGAACATGGGTGCAACTGAATAGTGAGATAAGGAAGAGAAATGAAAAAATGAGGCCCCTCTGCCCAGAAGGACTCATCTAAAATCTCTGCAGAAGCACACGACTGAGGAAGAAAATAGAGAAAGACATGAATAAAAGGAAAACAGTTGCAGATTATCTGATGTCATGGTAAGATTGTCTTCCCTATAATCACATTTTACAATATGGTAAAAGTCAAGATTTCTTCTTTTGGATTTAGTGATTTTTTATTATATTTTATAACTATTTATTGAGAAATGTTTACAATGAACATAAAACACTTGCAATCTCATAACATTAAAACAGATTCACTAGCAAGGTCCATGCCACATTAATATGTTGGTTAAAGGGGTCCTATTGTTCTTATTTTCAGGTTCATACATTATTTGTATATCGTGCTTCTGCTGTTTGCACGCATTCATTTTCTAAAAGTGGACACAGAGATCTTTGACTCAATACATGTATAGCTTTAAACTCAATAATTTATCAAATAAAATGAAGTTTTATTTATATAGTACATTTTAAAAAAAATTTTTGGGCGAGCCAAAGTGCTGTGCTGTGATTTAAAAATTCATCTGTAGAATTTTCCATTCAAAACAAATGTTAAAATCTTTCCTTCCCAATTCAGTTCTGGCTTTGTGAACAACAAACTGCACAAAACCATGGGATTGCAATTTTCATTGGTCAAATGTAAAAGAGAAGATCAGAAGGTAGCAATTTGTTCTCAACATAAAAGAACAACAGATGCAAATAAATACAGCTCAATGCTCAATCAAAGTGATATCCTAATGGCACTCAAGTGCATACACACATGAACACAAACACGCACATTTGAAGAGCACTCTCCGCTCTCCAGCACTGCATGCCCTCGTGGCCTTTGAAAACATAAACAGCTACAGTAGCTCGGTGCTGATCTAAAGTCTGACATCATCTCTCCAGGATGAGATCATTCCAACTGACTCACTCTCCTCGAAGTGTGTGCACTCAAAACGGATTGTGAATACGTCTTGTGAATAAGCAAACGTATGTACGTGTGTGCGCTTATGCAGTGTTCACTGTAAGACAATTAGATTAGTGCCGAAATGCTCTTCAGAGTGATCTAATTGAAGTTGAAGGGCTTTTACTAGCATTGATTTTGACAGCCAGGGGTCTGGTACCAAGGGGAAACAAAGCAAGTACACCCACTCCCACAGAAAGTGAAGCGAAAGCCTTTTCCCCTGATCTATTGAGGAGTTTGGCTTGGATACTGCTTAGCTGAGCTAAAACTGAGGATAAGTGATTTAGGTCCTCTTATAAACAACCGCAAAATTCAGACTGTTTAAACGCGTCATCCACAGAGAAAAGACAAACAATGGCAAGCTCTGAATTTAGGGCATAATCTATGTGTTCAGTTTTTGTAGATTTAATAAAAAATCCACAAGAAAGTTTTCTTTTTTTTTTACAATTGGAGCAAAATTGTGAAGTTGTCTTGACCTCCTTTCTGTGCACACTTCTGCATGTTGCACCTGTCAGAGAACAGCCTGTCTGGAACAGTCTGTTACCATGGGAACTGACAGCGAGAGGGAAGTAATTGAATACCAGGGAAAGAGTGCATCTCTGTGTATATGCAGTGTGGAGCATGATAGTGTGAAAGCATTTGGCACATTTGCATGGATGATTTTAAATGTTTTTAAGTGAAATTATGTGTTGAATGGACTTGCGATGATATGACTTTCTAGTCTCGACACCACTTAAAGATCTTTAGCTCAATGACACATTCACACAGAAACATTCATAGACTCATGGCAGGTGCCGAACTGCTCATTATGTGTCCTAATGTTCACAAACACACACACAATGATTATTCTGTTATTGATGAATAATTACAAACATTATTCTGTATGCTCTTAATGCAAGACTAGCATAGAAGTGGGCTATAATGCTCCAGCCTACTGTTGATTTACACCAATGTTG